CAGAAGTGCAGGTCTTTATACACAGTTTCCATCTGCGTTCAAAGTAGCGGATAGAATGAATTTAAAAGCCCTAAGATTTCTAGTTTAAAATATTAAACAAAGCATCCACAAGCACAATTTTGGGGATTGTAGTCACATGTAAATGTTGATTATTCTTTTCAAAATGCTGAAGTGTGACAAAATGCCTCTTATTGGCAGTCTTTTCATTATCTAGGTTGGCACCGGGTAAACAGGAGCATAGTTGTTTCAGATTGTTTGAAAACTATTGAAAAAAGTAAATAACCATTGGATTTAGAATGAACAGCTTAGTTTGACATTTGCTTTAATTTTAAATAGCTTGAAATGAGAAGAACAGCATGACATTAAAAACACTGTCTATCTTATTGTGTAGTTGTTTTCTTTGTAAAAATGTTGCTCTTCACTATCCCAGCAGATAACCAGAAGCTGTTTTGGGCCAGTTTGATCAGTAAAATCAGAGGCATTTAAAATTGTTCTTTCATCTGGCTTTCCTACAGATAGAAGCTGCACCAGTTTCACAGTGTCTTGACAGATTGGCATATATCTTGCAAAAAAATAAAATAAAATAAAAAATATTTCTTTGTAAATACAAGACCCTCATCTAGGTATTCATATTAAGATGTTAAGATGTATTACTTTGTGTGCAAGGTGCTGCAGAAAATTATTGTATTTAATATATGGAAATATTGCATAGAATTATGATATTCCATCCTATTTGCTGGAAATTTGGCATATTTGCTTTGTTTTTCATTTTATTTAAAGCAGTCCATAAATTTCCAGTGAAGCAAATTTATATTACTAGAAATATTAACATTTAACTTAAATTACAAGTATTTTTGGTTTATATTTGGGCTAAGCACCCTTGAAATATTTTGCTGTTAACTTGAGTCAAAAAGTCTGTGTCTTTACTTCTTCAGTAGGATCTTCCTTCTAGTGGAATATCTACTCAAGCACTACTCTCTGTCACACTACTGTCTATCATCAGTCACCATCAGTCATGTCTATCATCCTTTTGCTGTCTCTAAAGTTGTCAATAGGAGATTAGCCTTTAAAATTGCTTACTCTTGCTGAAAAAAAAAAGTCTCAGAAGTCTCCCCCCAATTTGTAAAGATGATAACAATGTTAATTTTCCTTGCCATATTTCAAGTAGCTGGTAAAAGTAGATGTTCCACCAAATAAATCTTAACATCTGTAATGAAAAAATGGCACAAAATCAATCTTCTCATTGGCCTTGTCAATAAGGTGATGATGCAGGGCTGAAACAATGTCTGAACTCATTTTTATTTACTATCTCCTATCTTGGTGCACTGATACAGAAACATCATAAGATTTGTAGATCAGACATCAGCTGTCTCATAGGCAAAACTAATACTTCAAACCACAGCTGCATAAGATGTAAGTCTAGGAGAGGCAATTAAAACGCAATTCCAGTACTGTTCTCTCTACTCAAAACATTGCTGTCTTATGAAATTTAGAATGTGAACCTAATTTAAAAACTGAATTTGACAAATTCCAAACAGCCATTTTTTCATTAAAACCTGCTGGCATTGCTGCTCTCTCTAATAATATTACCCTCAGCACCCTTTGAGTAACAGTGGAGCTCAGTAGTAAATCAGTACTCCTGAAAAGTTCTAGCTGAGCCATTGCTTCCAACTGGTGGTGGCATATATTACTAGATTTGGAAAGAAGGCTTAAGCGATAATTCAAATTAATTTGTGTACTGTATTTGTGGATGGATTCTGAGTATGATCCATAATGCTTTTAATGGGCAACAACACTGTGTGGTTTCCAGTAAACAAACAAATGAAAAACAAATAAACAAAAAACAACAACAAAAATAGAACCCGAAGTTCAGAAGGCTGTTTTTTCTTATCAGATTTGAACCCTTTTCAGCCTCTAGGGACATCTTCAGTATGGCAGTGCTTGTGGATTAGGGATATAAAACTGTGTCCCAGAGGATAATGACAAAGAGTCAAGTGCAGCTTTGTGAAATAAGCTTCTTCTGAGGAAAGTTCACTTTGACCAGTTCAAGCTTCTGCTCCAAACCGCACTCTAGTGAACATCTTAAACAGAGCACATAGTACAGGTAGTTGCATTGAACTAAGGGTAGACACTTTGAAGAGTACTCTGACTCACCATGTTACAAACCCATGACAACCTATCTGATCCCAGAAGCTGCACACCAGTTATTCATTAAGCTCTCCATCCAAGTTCACACACAATGAACTGTTTTTAAGACAAGGGAAGGTCAAGTAGTAAGCATTACTATTCTTTGCACATGCTTTCTGATATCTGTACCTCTTCTTCAGGTGATCTTCAAAAGTTTCTCAAATAAATTAAGCTAGACCCAATAAAAGCTAGATATCTGTTTCAAAAGCAAGTAAAGAAAAAGGCTTGAAGTGTGGCACATTGCCCAAAGGCTGCCCAAGTGGACACTTGCCTGTCTAGTCTCCCTCTCTTCTGATTGTGATTGTGATTCTGGTTGCTCAGAATTATTTTCTTTTGGTTGAGCTTTACATTAAAATTTTGAACATTAATACATTCATCACAGCAACAAAACTTCACTTTTCTTGAGAAACCTTCAGGCATTTTGTTTTATGGACTTTCCAAAGGTCATTAGGAAAATGCAAAATATTAAATAATTACAGAGGAATGATCCAAACTTTTAAATGCTTATCCAAAATGATCTGGACAGTTCATTGTTTCAAGGTCTAAAAGTCAATACAACCTCCAATTAATACAACGGAGAAAATATCAAAAGACTTTTTTTTTTCAGGAAACACATTAAAAAAAATCTGCTGCAGCCATCATATTCTATTTCTTGAGTTCACTTTCAACTCAGCATTCAAATGACTGTATATGGATACTGACAATCAATGACACTGCATTCATATGCACAACTAATCAAACAAAAGGTGCTCACATACACTATGCAAAATTTGTAGAGGAATACTGTACTCAAAAATGAAAGACATAAACACATAAAGAAATTGTAATATGCTTGTGAGTTACCTACAAGCAGAAAATGAGACAAAGTAAATTGGATAAATTATTCATTGTAAATTAGTTTTTCATCTCTAGGATTGAGTGTGAAAGAACAACAATTACATATGACATTTGTGGCTGGTCAACAAATAGATTCACTTGGTTTAAGCATGCAGACAGAAATGTGGTGCAATTGCAAATTGTGTGGGAAGAAAGCCTGTGTTGACTACTTTGTTCAAAATTCAAAATATTTCCCCTAAAATATTATTTACAAATTCACACTGAATTCTTCCTTCTATCTGCACACAATAAAGCTTTAATTATTATCTCAGTCCATAAGATTGCAGCATGTATTTGGATTATGCTCACAAGTGTCTCCAAATTGTGAAGAGAGAGATTTTCATTGCAAACTGTTGGATGACAGGAAGTCTGAGAAAGTCTGCTGGGAATACAGATTTTGATAGGACACAGGAGGATCTCCAAAACTGAAGGATCTCCAAAAGACAAGATGCTTGCTATCATGTAGGCATGATAGTAGGTAAGCAGATGTAGGTAAGCAAAGTAGAAACACAAATGCATTATTTAATTTTTATTGGAATACTCTATTATAACCTAAATTAACTTTTAATTTTGAGTATATTTGGTATTCCTGAGAGGAAAAACAATGTGGAACTGGCTGAATGGTTTCCTAACCTCAATCCAGCTGCCTCAACTGCTGCTTTCTGTATATTTGCCATCCAGAAAATGCCTAAGAAAGGTTTCCTGAAATTTGCTTAATACCCTAGGACATTTACTGGTACTGTAGATTAAAATAAAAGGTTTTCTTCATTCATAATCTTAAACTTAAATTACAAGGATGCTGGTTTGAAACTTGTCATGTGTAGATTAGGAAAAGACAGTTCTGCACAGCACAGGAAGATTGCACATTTTGCAACCAACAGATAATATATTATCTGTAAATGAAAGATATATATATATATATATATATTAATTCCATTTATTTTAAGGAGGGCTTTATACTCATTTAAAGATGGAAACTATGTTGTGGCAAAAATAACAGAAAATTACTTAATTTGTCTCCTTTTTTGCAGCTGTTTTTCAGCTGTGATTTTTGTCATTGACAGAATGTGTGCCCCTGATTTGAAGTAGTCGTGATCTAACACATATTCTAGAAATATAAACAGGTAAAGCTTTACCAACAGTGATTAATTTCTATTTCATTTTCTTTTGTTCCAGAAAGACCGCTGATTGGATAAAATTGCATTCTCTCAATAGTGACAGAATTACAGAGTGGACAGGATCATCTTACCTTTGGATTTGCTACTTCAGGAAAAAGTCAGACACTATATTTGATGGTACCTTCTCCTCTACTTGAATATCTGTTGTTATGGTGATAGTTGCAGGAGGGGAACATTAATAAGGATGGCTTGAAAGCTTTGATGTTTACAGCATAATTACTATTAACACCTCGTAAGGAAAGGTGACAGTTAATATCGCTCCTTGCTAAATATGCATTATTATATCAGTTTATATGAAAATTAAGTGAGTTTCTATTTGTTATGTATCTGTAACACAATTATGAGTACAAATAAATATACATTATATATATTTATGCAATAAGAAGGATTCAGAAGAACAAAATAAAAATCTTTGTTTCTCACTGAGGATATAATTTGTTATTCCTAAGAACTTGCCTACAGTAAACAGTGATTTTCAACTATAATACTGTCTTTAGACTACATTATAGTCTGTGTTGCTTTTACATGATATAGTGAAAGCTAACCAGCATGACCTTCTCATATCCAAAACTAAGCTGTGAAAAACTCTGTAAATGCCAATCACCCAAGAGACCACACTATATCACCTAGGCTGTAATTCACCAGCAGGAGGTAAGCAGTAGAGACAGAGGAATTATTGGACTGGAGTCTCCAACTTCAGAGGTACACGAACTTCAACACTTTGATTTACATCTGTTATTAATGCATGCAGTTACTTACATATTCTTCATATGCCTCATGTGCAGGTGGAGGGGGTGGTCTGTAGCCTGGGACTGCCGGGGCACCCCTTGCTCGAGGGGTAGGAACGCCCCTCGCTACTGGTGGGACGGGAAGTGCTCCACGTGTCACTGGTGCTCCTCTGGGGGCTTGGGCACCTCGTCCAGGTGGGGGCGGAGGAATCGCACCCCCACGGCCCCTGTGGGCAGCAAAAAGAGATGATCATTTTGAGGTGTACATCAAGGGAGGATATGAAAGTGCTACCTCACTTTAAAGGCTCTTATACTTTTACTACTATTTAAAGTATCGTATAACTCGGAGGTTTTGGCAGCTACAATATCAAGCCCTTTTAGGCAGTATCTCAAGCAGAACTCCTGTTATGAAAAGGCATTATTTCTAAGCCATCCAGTACTTTTTACACCTGATCCTCATATTGCTTGTAGTAATGAAATCCTGGATCATTTTAATTCAGTTTTGTGGAGTTACTCTGAAGTAGTTCCAAAACAAGAAGAAAGTAAGGACTTTTTTCTGTTGCTTTCAAAGTACAAGAGCAGTCATCACTGTCATTCACATGTTTATTGGTGGGTGGGAGAATCTGTCTGAACATAAGATGGTACTCAATGGCAGAAACTAGCACAGTAAAGCAGAACAACAGTATAAAAGGAGAGTAAGGACATTTTCTCCTGTCTAATTTAGATCAGCACAAGCAAAGGACATCATGGGATTCAGCTTTCCCAACTGTAGAGAGACTGCACTGCATACAAACAAGCACAGAAGGGTTTAGCATCCTCCCATTTATTTATATTGTACCCACTGCACCATAGTAATTGGTATGTCAGAAGAAACAGCAGCAGCTGTTCTTGCTTAAAAGGAGGCTCTTGTAACTATACTGTATGCAAAACTAGAAGGACAATATGTCAGGGAAGCAATCTATGAGTTTCCTTTTAGAGTAGTATGCTTCTGAATGTGCTGCTGTTTCTGAAGACTGTGCAAGTGGCCAGTACAACCATATGTGATGCTGGCAACACTTAACAGCCAGGTCCAGAGATGTGAATGCAACTCGGGTTTCCCTCAGCTGTATAAGCCCTGGTCAGTTCTCTACTGAGACAATCAAACCAATGGTGTTAGCTTTTGATCATCTTTATTTTACTACAACTTTCAGGAGATAACTTTATGCAAGTATATTTAACTTAAAATGTTTCAGTTCCATTTTATTTTAATATTCTCCTGGGATTTCTACTGCCCACATGTGGGGGACCCGTGCTGGAGCAGTTTGCTCCTGGGGCATGGACCCTGTGGTATGGAGCCATGTGGGAGCAGTTTTTGAAGAACTGCTGCCTGTGGACAGCCCACGCAGGCTCAGCTGGGGAAGGAGGCATCCTGTGGGAGGGACCTCACATGGAGCAGGGGCAGAGAGTAACTGAAGGAGTGGTGGAGACAAAGTGTTAGGGACTGACCGCAGCCCCCATTCCCCGTTCCCCTGTGCTGCTTGGGGGGAGGAGGTAGGAGTGGGTGGTAGGGGCAGAGCTGTTTTTAGTTTCTCACTGCAGTAGTCTGTTAGTAATAGGTAAGAAATTACATTAATCTCCTTATGCTGTTTGTTTTGCCCATGTTGATAATTGTTGAGTGTTATCCCTGTCCTAATCTGAACCCTTGAGCCCTTCTCATTTCATTCCCCCTGCTCCTCCTCCCCCCCCGCTTTTTTTTTTTTTTTTTTTTTTGTCTTTGAGGGGGCATGAGAAAGTGATTGTGGTGTTCAGCTGCCCAGCAGAGTAAAACCACGACACCACAATACTACTTTCTGTCCTACTGATTGGATCAGTAGGGTGTTCTGCAAGAAATGGAGCCCAGCACACCACTGATTATGCTTTGAATCTAATTTAAAAGCCGGCAGTCTGGTGCAGTGATGTTCTGAACATCACTATTAGTAAGCCCTTCATAGATCTTAGGTGTAACGAAGAGTGGTTTCTGAGTCCCAAAAGTCTTCCACTACAAGATGGTCATGAATGCCAATTGTAACAAATCCTATACATGGCATCATACCACTGATAAAAAAGCTCATTCAAAAACTGAGGGAAAACACTTTCAGGGAAGAACGAAATAGCACAGGTAAGATCAGCCAGTTCAATTACCGAAGAATGACTCATCTGTGTGCTTAAAATCAGGAGGTCTATTTCCTCCAAAATAAAAGTGGATTTCTTAGGACCCATCTTGAAATGATCTCTGTGGAGGCCTCCAAGTAGCTAGATAACTTAACGTAGGTGGCAAATTTTAAGGATTCATGGTCAAAAATGGGTCTGGAGGAGTGCATTACACAGGTCTCATGAACAAGCAGAGCTCTCTGTCAACAATATATTAAAAAGTAGTTGGAAGAATTCTGGAAACATTCATATATCAATGCTTTTAGATGGTATCAATGAAATTCATATAGAACTGATAATACAAATGAAAAATAAAATTCAATGCAATATATATATATATATAACATTATACATGTAATATGCACAAAAATAAGTCATGATTTGGTAATAAATGAAGTGTTATCCAGACTATGTGGCCTTCTCTGACTACGGAACAGAACGCTTATAAAACCAATGGTTTTATGATACTGACCATACTGATTCTGTGTCAGCATTACAGTACTTTTTCTTAGACATATCCTTCTAGTGGCTTCATAATCTGTTGTGATTTGCAGCCTGTTGCTGGTATACCCTGACTATAGGCTGTAGATTTTAGAGCCTGGAGCAATATAGACTGCACAAGTTCTTAGAAGAAAAACCTTTTGGTTTACTGACCATAATGTGTAGTGTGTTCATTTTTTTTTTAAAGAAAAACAAAACAAACAAAACAAAATAAAAAAGACCTCTATGCTTGTTTTGTCATTGTTTAAATTTTCTAACACAACTAGCATAATAGTTCAGGTTACCACACCTTGAAGGAGCTGCAGGTGGCACACGGATCCCTCTTCCTCGAATACCCCGTCCACGTGCTGAATCCTCAGAACCGTTCAAATATGATAGCTCTCTCAGCTGCTCCTGACGAATTTCATCATTATAATCCTGAAATGTAAAATATAAAACTTGCTGAAACTTCATATTTTGGCTGAGCTGCCAAATAAACCAAAACAGAAATTACATAGATGCTATTTGGGTGAATTTCCCCAAATTATCACCTGTAGGATAAAACATGATCTTTCTGTATGCACATATGATATGAAATTGAAGTATTTGTGGACTGGAAAGCTACCTATAATATGTGGACAGACAAACTTACGTGTATGCTTAAGATGGCCATAAACAAGATATACACACAAAATAAAACATGAAAAATACACAAGGCATAAAGACAAAGTAGACGCTAAGGATATATCTGTAAACAAGATGCAAATGCACTTTCACATAAAAAGGTACCAATCTCAAACAGCTCAAAATCAGATTTATCAAATTATAAATATTTGATATATTTTTAGGCAGACAGCATTGGTAACTTTCACACACTCCAAACACAGATTCCATCTGCTGATGCACCTTAGCATGAAAAATTACACTGGATGCATTTGTTTGGATGGTTTAATCATAACATACCAATAATTATAGTGTTATGAAGTTAAATTCTACATCCATTTCTTTTACTGAATTTTATCATCGTTGAATAATGTCCTTAGTTATTCGGTATATCTACTAAACCACTTCTGAAAGGAGCTCTCTTTAGGACTCATGAGTAAAAATGCTACGTTTACTGTATAAAATTGTTCAATTATATAAAATAGGCCCATTCTCAGACTGCAGGGTATCAACTCTGCAAGCTTCTGTTGTCTCAGTAAACAGAACATTGGATGAATATCCTTTTCTTACTGACACAAAATATATAATACTGGGTAATTTTAACTTATTTTACAACCTTTGTCTTAGTCAGAATTCCCTTTTTTTTTGTTTCCTTCATTTTGTTTTCAGCTCCTTGTGTGCCGATCATAGTAATAAGAGCCCTCTGCATTAATCATCCCTCTGGCAGTAAGTTCTGCAATAGTTAACTAGTATTTCAAAACAGAAAATATTATTGAATTTCAGCCCTTCACTTTTTCATCCTTCAACTTGCAACTGTCATTGACAGGCATGCCAGGATCTGAAAATGCTACAGTACCTGCTACAGTCACCTCAGATGGGTGACTGCTTTACAAATGACACTTTTTAGCCAAGTTAGAGACCAGACAAACAGTGAGATGGAACCTAGACTTTACTTATTCCTAATCCTTACCAACTTTCTGGAGTCAGACATATAATAAATGCTTTGTCAGCAAAGTAGGTTTAAGAAATTTGTAGATAATTCTAACAGTAGATGGCTGACACACTGAAAAATAGAGCTGCAATTTACAGGGAGTTTGAGAAGCTTGAAGGACCAACATAAACCTTTTGCAGGCCAACAAGAAGTGGTGCAGAGTTCTGCGCACGTGTTGCAATAATCAAGCCCACACATTTTTAGAGGCTGGGAAATTACAGGTTGAGTCAAAGCACTGCTGAAGATGATCTAGTGGATGCCTGTTTGAATACTGAATATAGGGTGTTCTTTGGAAATAAGGTATATTTCATACAGTGCTACATTAGAGGAGTACAGCCAGCGGCTCAATAGAAGGTATCCAATTTACACAGTGTTGCTTATGTCTGACCTAGAGTATTTTATCCAAGTTTGGCCTGCCAATTAAGATGAATGTGGTGAAACTGAAAAAGGTCCAACAGAGGACTACCGAGGTAGTCAGTGGCCCAGAGTATATGAGGAGAAGCTCAGGAATGTGGACTTCTTTAGTCTGTTGAAGAGGAGACTGAACAGTGATCAGAGGATTTTTCAAGTACTTGAAGGAGAGCTACAAAGTGGTGCAGACAAAGAGGAGTTTTGGGCTTCTCATGAGGAAGAAGTCTTTCACTAGATGGATAGTGCAAACCTGGAACAGGCTATACAGATTCAAGACTCAGCCAAACAAAGCCATAGTTGTCCTGACTTACTGTTTACTGTTGTCAGTAGGAGTGAAGAAAACCTTCAATAGACCCTTTCAATAGATATTTTTGTGACTGTGAAGATCTCATCCATCTTCCTCAGTGCCCAGGATATTGTATATAGATTTGCCTCTTCAGCAGGTGCTATTGTAGGAAGGGAGAACATCTGGTAAACCTGAATTATGACACAAATCAACTAAAAATTGAAGACAAAGCCCAACTCTTGTGTTGAATAGTTGAGAAGTTGGTGACCTGAGGCAGATATGAGTGAAGAGGGGTTGGAGAAACAGGAGATGTTCTCAGACAGTTCTGCAACTGTTTTTTATTTAATCTTAGGAATCAATCCCAAAGAGACCCCACAAAAGAACTAAGCCTCTTTCTTCCTACAATACTGAATCAGAGGTACGGGCAATCTGTTGAATGATATGATGCTGACCTTGTGCTCTAAGAAAGTGTAGGCCTAGTCATAATTTTACTTCTAAATTTCTAGGAAGTGCAGCTGGAATAAATCCTAACAATTCAGTTCAGAAGAGAACCACAATTATACAGCATAATATGTGGCATTTGTAGCAGAATCATAATTAAGGGTAAATCCCCAATTTGCTAATAAACCAGACGATAGCTTTCTGATCACAACATTCTTAAAATCTTTTTGCACATTTTTCTGTTGTTTTAACATTAATGGTAATAAGATAAATACATTGTTCTAAAGAAACATGTTCTGTAAAACACAGAGGGAAAAACACAGATAGGATCAATCAGGTCACATTTACAGCAAAATCAAAACATATACCATTTACTGTGCCTTGCTTAATACCATCTGTTATTCACACTGGCTCTTCAAGGATTAGAACTTCAAACTAGCTGATTGAGTTTGCCCTTCAGATTCCACAGCAGTGCTAGGAATGAGCTTCATTAATAATGAAAATAAATTTTGTAAGAGTAAGATGTGGGGGGAAAAGAAAGGAAGAAGAATGGAAGAAGAATGGAAGAAGAAAGGAAAGAAGGACCTGCAAAGAACATTAACTTAAACTTTCTGTGTTGCTGCTTTTAGAATGTTGTATAAATGAACTTCTACCAGAAACTACCTCAAAACTACTATTCCTTGCTCAGATGTGCATATCATTTATAATCTTAGCATTTACTAAAGGACCCCCCCCCCAAAAAAAAAACAAAAAACAAAAAACAAACAACAACAAAATACAGCAAGACCTGCAAATCTGCAACATTCTATTATAGCAAGCACTCTTTTATTTTCCTACAGGTTATTTACTGTATTCCCTGTTAAGAAATATGCACTATGTATTTTAAAAGAGCAAGAAAAAGACAATAAGGTGTATGGAGAACCATAATTAAAATGCTGGGAATCCTGAAAAAAATATCTATTAAATTACTATATATAGATCATTTATCTTACATGCCCTTTAAAAAAGCATAATAAAAATCATAACCTCGAAACCTGAAATCTGAAATTTTGAACAGAAATGCTCTTTTCAACTCTTCATTAAACAGAAACATAACACTGAATTAATCTTTCATAACTGCTACATGAGTCTAGCTAGAGACAGAGTATCCTGCTGAATATTTAATTGTAGCTGAGTTCAGAGCTTAGCACTTGAGCAAAATTATGCTGCAGATGTTTCATATATATCTAGTCCCGAGAGAGTACAAGATGTTGCAAGACATACCTATACTGAACAAAGTATAATGAAGTAGCTATACACTGTAGTAATATGTTGTTTTAGAAAGAAATCCCTACTCCTTCCATTAAAATAAGCTCATGAGAAATGTGCTGTACTTACTAGTTTTTCTCTAATTTAGGAATCTTATAGCTCATTATCTACATTATCATATATATATTGCTCCTGTTTATATCCTTAAAGACATTATTAGCTAGCTATAAACAGCTTTTGGATTCAATGATACTAAGGGTGCCATCTGCTTACATCACAGTGGTCGGTGTTTGCAAACAACCACTGTAGGTGAGCTAACCACCCACACCCACAACATTTCACCTAAACATGTATCTTGACTTTAAAAACACTGAGGATTTACAGTCTTAGCAAAGTCACTAGCACCCAGGACCAGCTGTCCTGGTTTCAGTTATGATAAGAGTTAATTTTTCTCTTAGTAGATGGTATTGTGCTGTGTTGGGGATTTAGGCTGAGAATAATGTTGATAACACACTGATGTTTTAATTCTTGCAGAGCAGTGCTTACACTAAGCCAAGGACTTTTCAGCTTCTCACACTGTTCTGCAAGTGGGAAGGCTGGGGGTACAGTAGGAGCTGGGAGGGGGACAGAACCAGGACACCAGCAAATCACAATGTTCATCTAAGTGCCCCAAAGCAAATTAAGCATTTAGGTAAAACCCTTAGTTTTCTAAATTACATGAACACATTTATCCCAAACTACCACAACAATGCTTATTTATGAGGGTGTGGAACGGTTAATTAGGTCAGTTGCCTTGACTGTGCTAGGAACAAAGGAAAGCTGTCAGTATCAAAATCAAACCAGTGACAGCTCACCCAGGGGCAGTTCTGGCATGGAAGTATGGCAAAGATGTGAATGCACATAAGCTAGAAAATGTTAGAAACCTTTTTTTATTTATTTTTTTTTTTTCTTGTAAAGAGCAGCAAAATATGGCGCAAGCTGCAAAACCTGATCTGAATTTAAAAGATCACACAGTGACAAGGGAGGAGAGTTAATAAAGAAATCAAAGGGTAAGATGTAGACAGAGGCAACAGATTTCAGGAATATCTATCTATCATTAGCATAACAAAGGCTCATAGAAGTCAAGGATAAATCAGTCCCTTAAGGACTGTGATCTCCTGTCCTGATGTGTTTTGCAAGTTTAAGTTCTTTCCATGTATATGAATGATTTGCACTATTAATAAATATCATTACTCTTATCTGTGACAGCTGAATTTCATTCTAACTCCATAGTTAAGGGGGAAAGTAATTTATGTTAAAGGCAAACTACCTTAAAAATGCAGATTTATGCAACTCAAACCAAAAATGATAATCATAATTCTTCATATTGACAATGTTGAAGTATGAATAAGACACACT